GATTTGAATCTCAGACCCAGAAGCTTAAAACTCACATCAAGGGACCAGCAGTTAGCGTGATGGCTATGTCGCTGGACTCCCACGTAGTCGACTGTGGTTCAAGTCCCAGACCCGGTGGCTTAAACTCACGCCGGGCGCGTACGTGCGTGCCCAAGATCCCGAGAGGAGAATGGAGAGAGGGGATTGCAGCGTAGCCATCCCCCCTGGGGGGTGATTTCCTGCTTTCTGTCTCTCTGTCTCTCTGTCTTTCTGGCGAGTGCACGCACCCTATAGCAAAAAACCTCTCCAAAAAAAAAAACAAAAAACAAAAAAAAACTCACATGGAATGTGTGTGCGTGTATACCCAAAATCTTGAGAGGAGAACGGAGGAGAAGGGATTGTGGCATGGCCATCCCCCCTGAGGAGTGATTTCTCACTTTCTGTCTCTCTGTCTCTGGCGAGTGCACATGCCCTATAGCAAAATTCTCTCTTTTAAATAAAATAAAGAAGATCCTGAAACTTAGGAAAATTGGCTGAATATTTTATGTATTTAAATAACACAAATAAAAATTCAAGTCTATGGATTTAAAAAAATCCACAAAAAATAAAACCCCACTTATGTTCAACTTGAAACTAATAGCAGAAACAGGCCCCATGATATTAAAAATAGTAATAGTAATAATAAGCTAAACCAAATGTAGGCAGTTCTGGCAGGAGAGCCAGTGTGAGGAAAAATGAAAAACAGAGCCATTCTATGTTACCACAGGGAGAAAAATGAGTACTTCCATGCAATTAGCTCCTCTTCCATGGTCTAGATCCTCCTTCCTGTGTTGACTATTAAAATCCTCTTAAGCTCTCTGTGTGTTCATCAGACTTGGTTTTGTTACCATCATCCTCCTCTCTGAAATACTTAAATTTTTCCTACACAAGTTAGCTCCTAAAATAGTTTTAGGCTATTCTCTCGTCTGCCGGCTCAAACGACTGTGGGTATGTGACGGCAGGTGGTTGGTTGTGCACACCTTGTCCTGGCAGGGTGAAGAATGATGAAGAGCTCTGTGTTTTCTCAAATTGATGTCTCACCCACTTATAAGTCATACAACCTTAGGCAAGTTACTTAATTTTTCTGAACCAGCTTCATGGACTGTGAAACAGGGACAATAACACCATCAGCCTCCTGGAGTTGTGGGAAGATTGAGTGAAATAATTCACGGGAAGTGCTTAGCAGAGTGCTGGTACCCAGGAAGCCCTCAGCCAATGGAGCCCACTGCTGCTCCCATTTCACTTACACTGACTTATGGATAATTCTCGATGTTCTGCTATGACCAGAGGCAAAGTTGGTTTGTAATAGAAAGTCAGGAAGTTACGTTTTTCCATCTGTACTTTTATGCAGACAGCCTCTCCTTGTCTGGGAAATCTAGTGTATTTCATTGATTCTTTTGTTCATGCCTGCTTTTATTATGATGTCTCAGAACTCAGGATGTGTTTTATAATCCAGTCTTCTAAGAAACCAAAAGAGGTTTGATTATCTTAGAGTCTTATCAAGAACAGCATGAATTTTGCTGATTCTTCCAGTGAAGAAGATTTTAAAAAGAAAATGACAGTACTTAGAAGCCTACATCTCTTCTTCCATATTGCTCTTCTTGCTTTTAACTCTGTTCCATGAACCCCAGCTCAGAATGGCACCATTATTATCATCTGAGTTCCTTAGACAAAGAGACACTGCTTAATTCACCAAGACCATGTATTTTCAAGCCATTTGACATCATTTAAGACTGAGAGCATGTCAAATTTATATCTCGTACTCTGAGAATAGAATGTCCTGATTATCTAAGTTCTGTCAAAATTGAAATGTCTACTTGGTCATGAAAAGCCCTTGATGATATTGTTATACATATCGAATTGTCCAGAACATTGATGGATTTTAACTGTCTTTGCATCATAATAATTCTTATTTTTTAAAGGTTTTGCCTTAGGGCACATGCACTCGCTGGGGAGAAACAGTAAGAGAGAAAGTGAAAAAGCACCCCTGGAATTGGCCATGCCACAATCCCTTCTTTTCCATTCTCCTCCTGGAATTTTGGGCATACATGCATATGCACTTACTGTGACTTTTCAAGGCACTAGATCCAGGACTCAAGCCATGGCTGACCATGTGGGAGTCTAGCACCTTAAATACTATGTCGCCTGCTGTCCCCCACCCATCATAACTATTAATAGTGCCTCTTTAGTTCTCAGGAGTATCCTAATCTGGATGAAAAAACTGAATGATTTTTCAGTGTAAAGTCCAAGGTGGGCCTGTAATCTTTGGCTTTAAAGACCTACATTTAAATTTTGTCTTTACTATTTGTAAGCCTGAGCTTCTAGTCAATCAGTCGTTCATGTGGCTTAGCTAGTGTCCATTCCTTAATATTTCTGCCATTTTATACAATAAAAAGCAACATACAGATGGCCCTAAGTCAAGGAATTTACAGATCTGTAAAGGAGACCGAACGAATTAAGTATCGGGCCATCAGAAAAGTCATGAAGTATTTCTCTATGCAAAAATGCATTTTGACTTTCCCGATGACCCAATAATTACACACCCAAAGTATCATAATTCCTCAGGATAAAAACAAGATGCTTTGATAGCCTGCAAAATGTGACCTATGAGAGGTGGGGTAGTACAAACAGGCCTTAGAAATATATCTGACTTGGTTTTTAACCCCAGAAGGGTATCACTTCAATTTAATACAACATTCTGTTTCCTTGTCATTCATTGGTCATGGTGGGGAGACATTTCAGTAAAAAGAACCCTTTCTGAAGATGGGCACTAAGTAATACTTGTGGGTAGATAAATCATGAGGAACAGAAAGATAACTCATGGGTTCTGATTTAAGAAGAAACAATGATGGAAGAAATAAAGAGTGAGGGTGAGAAGGACAGAAAAACAAGATATGGCATTAGTAAACTCCTTGAGGGTGCACAGTGTATCAAGTTTTGGGTTGTTTTCTCCTCCTGAGTTTTCCTTGGAACACAGTTTCAAGCAAGTGGCAAAAGATGTCCCAGACATCTTGACTTGTGTTGACAGAGAAAACGAGGCTCAGAGAAAGAACACATAGAACCCAGTTTCCATGGGGCCAAGAGAGTTAGAAGGTGTTCTTAAGCCATGCTGGCTTCTCACAGAACCCACCTCCCATCTGGTATCTATGATGTCAGCAACCCAAACAGGTGCAATTGGCAATTCTGGGGAGGTGAATGACCATGAAGGTTCTGAGAGGGACTCCACTGAGTACAAATATGAAGAGTTTCTCCTTAGAGAAAAACCGAGACGGGAGGAAGAACAGGATTTCCAGTTATTGACAAAACACCAGGTGTGTAAATTCACTTCTGAAAGCCTACATGATTAACTGTCTGCTCTTCATTTATTTGTTGCCTGAAGAGCACATTTCCAATACAAACAGGATTTTCCAAAGGTGGAAAATTAAATAACTCTTTGAGTATATAGGTACAAGGCCAAAGGGGGGAAAAGAATTAGTTTATGGTGAATGCATAGAGAATCTATAAATTATGATGCTACCTCTTCATCCACAGGCTCTGCGCTAATCTGGTTAAATTACAAATAAATATCAACTGGTTGGTGGTCAAGTATTTTTTCTTAGTCAAACTTTCATTAAATAAGACATAATTCTACTTAAAATACAGCAAATTCTTCAAGGATTAGAGGTAACAGTGGCAGGCAGTCAAATGTACTGATTTTTAATTTAATGGCATGTAATGAACTAAGGTATTTATTTTACATGTGCAATTAATGCAAGTCAGTAAAACACACAGGGCTCTGACTTTGGGACAGAGAGATCTAGATTTTTTTTTAAGAGTTTTTTTTTGCTGTAGGGTGCATGCTCTCACCAGAAAGACAGAGAGACAGAAAGTGAGAAATCACCCCCCACCCCCAGGTGGGTTGGCCACACCACAATCCTTTCTCTTCCATTCTCTTCTCAGGATCTTGGGCACGTAGGCACATGCACCCCACGTGAGTTTAAGCCACCGGGTCCGGGACTTGAACCACGATCGACTATATGGGAGTCCAGCAACATAGTCATTATGTCATCTGCTGATCTCAAGATCTAGGTTTAAATGCTGGCTTTCTGAGACAGTGTATGTAAAGTCCCGAGCAGGAGCTGGCACATAGTAAGCCACCAGCAAATAGCAGCTGCTTTGATGGAGATTATATTTGAAATTCTCATAAATAAACCTGAATGATAATTTAATGGCTCCAAGTCATGATTTTCTCATATTAAATACTGACCTGTGTCTGCTCTGATCTTTATCACAGGTTACTTTAGAAATTGAGTGAAACACTATATCTTGGGTTTTGGAGGAAGTCATGATGCATTTTTTTCACATAGAAAAACATGTCATGACTTTCTGACAATCTACTATTAAAAAAAAAAATCACTAAAACTACTCATTGCTTAGGGCCAGCAGGTGGTGCGGTGGTTAAAGCACTTGACTCCCACATGGCTGGAACGTCTTTAGTCGCTATAAATGCTCTCACTGCAGGAGACACATTGCTTTTGCAGTTTCTGTTTGTAGCACGTACCTTATGACTTCACTTAACATAGACGGCATGACAGGTAGATGTTAGAAAGACCCAAGTTTTCTCCCTTTCCATTCCAGCTTTTTCCTCCCTTCTCATCCTATGTTTTTCTCTGCATATGCTTCCTCCATTTCTATTTTAATTCATTTAATTTTTAAGTTTCTATATATTGCCTTTTCTCAGTTTAAGTGTAATTGTAAAATAGTGTTACACATTGATTCTGGTCTTGGTGCTTACTCATTGTGATCTTCAGCAAGTTAAGCTCAATGTGCTCAATTGTTGTTTTTAATCTGCAAAATGGGGACAACCAACCTACCTCAGGGGACTGTTGCAAGAATTAGATGAGGGTTAAGTGTCATGTTCAACAAGGATTTGTTGAATGTGGCAGGTTGTGGGCTCTCTCCTGTGCATTCAGTTCAAGGCTGTCTCCTTGGACTTGACTGACCTGTGAATGATGCGCTGGCTCTGCAGGTAGTCCAGGGCCATGGCGAGCTCACAGATGAAGAGCTTCACTGTGTCTTCCTGGAAGCGGACATTCTGCTGCAGGTGATAACGCAGGTCCCCACCCAGCAGAAGGTCCACCACCATGAACATGTCTTCTTCATCCTGGAAGGAATACCTGGAGCGACATTGGAAAAGAAAACGTATTAAATATACTTACATGCTAACGAGTCTCAGAAGTAAATGCAACCCTACCAATTAGAGAAGGGTGGTTTGGAACTAAGAGCTCAGACTTTGGGAGTAGAAATTCTTTCACTAGTCTAGGACCTTAGGCCCTCACGTATAAAATGGGAGTAATACGACTGTCTCCCACATTTGATCATAGTGAAGAATAATTAGGATTAATAATGCTATGCTTGGCATGCAGTAACTATGTATTAGCTGTTTGCTTTGATAGCTGTAAAGCCCAGGAAATAAAGAGACCCACATCTACCCATTTATTGTTAATGGCCTTAACCACACTCTTAGGCAGGAGGTGTCCGTACTATGAGAGTCATAAGGCCTCCTTGCGCCAGCCTCAGGCCCATTTTTCCATACTAACAAGTTCATTGTAACAAACCATGTCCCACATTAATGATAAGAGAGAGAGATCAAATGGACAATACTGAAGTAAGTGAACAGTACAAGAAGTAATTCATTTATTCTTTGGGGTGGGGGAGATAAGGGAAAGCTTTTCAGCAAAGGTGAAAACCTGAGCTGAATTTTGCAGGATGTTGAGAAGAATAATGACTGAAAGTTAAAGCTAACATCTCCTGATGTTGGGTTGTTGTTTTGTTTTGCCTTTTAAGACAAGATCACTCTTGTGATCCTTCTGTCTCAGTTTCCACAGTAGCTGGAACTATGGGTGTGTGCCATCATGCCCAGCCCTGTTAATTTTTTAGACAGGACCTAAGTTGCCCAGCCCAGCCTCAAGTTCATGGTTCTTCAGTTTCAGCCTCCCCGTCACTGGGATTACAGGTGCATACCACTTTAGCTGGCCGTTAGGTTGGATCAGAAGTCAAACCCAAGCATCCCACATGGTCCCAGCCTGAGGAGCACAGCCACTGTGGCTCCGTTTCCTGAGATTTCTATCCAGCGACTTCAGCGAGGCAGGCTCTGAAGTGCTCTCTAGTATTTCCCCCAGTCTGTCCCCCTAGTGCTGTTCTCATGCTCTCAGTGACAAATGAGGAACTCAAAGCATGAGAAAGTGTAAGTACCTTGCACAAGGTCCAACACCTAACAAAAGGAAAGGTAAAATGTCCTCCCAGTACCAAAGTCAAATTTGACAGAGAAGGGGCCAAGAGGTGGTGTAGTGGGTAAGGCGCTGAACTCTCACATGGCCAACTGTGGTTGGAGTCCTGGACCTGATGGCTTGAAATGCACACTCATGTGTAGATACTCAAAATCCTGAGAGGAGAATGGAGGAGAAGGGATTGTGGCATGTGATCTCTTTCTTTCCTGCTCTCTCTCTCTCTCTTTCTCTCTCATTGTCTTTGGTGAATGTACTCACCCTATGACCAAAAAAAAAAATTGACAAGAAAAAAATAGCATATGTTTAAGCACAGACATGGGAAAGGAAAATAAAGCACAGCGGGGAAAGGAATATAAAGGAATATAGTTTGGATTTACTGAGCATCAGGTGTGATGGGGAAACTTGAGTCTAGAGAAGAAGGCAGAATCCAGGCCCCTTGAGAGGAGTTTGTTCATTAGCCTGGAAGACACCGCAGAGTCACCGAAGGCTTTGGGCAGGATGTGCGATCAGATGTGTGCTTTACACTAGAGGGGGCGTGCTGCTGAGGGATGGGAGAGGAAACAAGACGACACAGAGTAGAACTGGCTTCTGCTCTGTGCAAAGAGACTCCTGTAAAAATGCATTCCCACTGCTGTGATTCGCTGTGTTTCTCTCAAAGCACAGACGTGATTTCTAGTCATCATGACGTTCTCGGTATCAAGACTGTTTTAACACGTGTCATTAGACACAATGTCACTGAGATCACATTTTTTATCTTATTTTATTTCAAGTTCTTTTTTATGTCCCATCACATCATTTAGTTTAACAAAGTGAATATTCCAACATGTTTACATTTCTCCCCAGTCCAGTTGATAATACTATAAAGTTATCTTCCACAGATAATACCCTATTCTTTGTCCCAGGAGATCTCATTTTAAAGTTGTTTTTGAAGCAAAGAATTAAATGACTGAAGCAGTGCCCAGGGACGCACACTAGTTCCTAGTGACAAATCCTTCACTCAGGAAATGAGTGTAGAATGATGGGAGAACTGTGCTTAGTACATTTTCTTCTATAAAACTATTGCTATGTTACAGGAGAAGGGGTCTTAGAAACCAAAGAAAAAAGACAAATGCAATGAAGCATTAATCTGAGGCAGTCGCATTCTAAGACTAACGGTCCCTGATGTTTACTTGTTCAATAAATGATATTTTGTTTACCACTGAAGACTGATTCACACAGATGTCAGAAATTAAGCTCTTGGGGGAATTTAGACAAAACACAGGAAGTGCTTTATAAAAGTCTGAGAAGTGCATGCATGGCATTGCCTTTTAGGAAATAAAATGTTCATCTCCATGCCATGACTGGTGCGTCGTCTCTGCCATAGGTTTAATGGTGGCAGGAAAGATCCCTGGATCTAAGCAATGTGATTCACAATCTTCCCAGCTACACCAGTTCGGTGTTTTGTAGGTCTTTTGGTGAGCAATATTAGCTAGTTGATATGTAATCATGGCTAGGACCTGTTGTGCCTTAGGCTGCTCTCAGTTAACATAACAGAAAGGAGGATTCTCGTGGATGTAAGCAGTCTTTTGGGGTGAGTAGCAGGTGGGACAGACATGGTGAGGTCTGAGTGTCAACAACAGGGAGATGAGAGTGCTGACCATAACTATAGCTAGGCGCCAACGGCAAACTCAGGCTAGGTTAGCATACAGAGCAGATCGAATCTCTGCTGTTATATCAAGCAGCTAGGTGTAGGTCAGAAACCTGGGAACAGAAAGGATGACTCCTCTTCCATCACTCCATTTAACTCTAAGAGGGGACAGTAGTCTTCTTAAATTTAGCCTCAATAAACAATTTTTTTTGAGAGATATTTTACCATAGGGTACAGGAGCTTGCCAGAGTGACAGAGAAAGAGAAAGTGAGAAATCACTCCCAAGAGGGATAGCCACACCACAGTTCCTTCTCCTCTATTCTCCTCTCAGGATACTGGGCCCATATGTACACATGCTCAGTATGAGTTTCAAGCCATGGAGTCTGGGACTCAAATCACGATTGGCCATGTGGGAGTCCAGAACATTAACCACCATGCCACTTGCTGACCCCAAACAAAATTATTTTTTTTTAATCTTGGAGTTGGGTTAAGCTATTTTTATGCAAAGAACAAACTGCTAGAAGTGTCAATTGTGGCAACTCAACAACAGTGTTCAAATATGATTATTAATCAAAGAAAAAAACATCCCGGCAAGAGGCAACATGTTTCGCTTGGCCAGTCTAAATACAAATGTAATTAATCATGGAGGCAGGTCTGGCTGTAAGAACTAATCTTTCTCCTCTGGCATTTCAACTGTCATAGCTGAAGCCCTCCATCTCAAATTCTTTTTTTTTTTTTTAATTGGACATGTGTGCTTGCCAGAGAGATAGAGACAGAGAGACTGAAAGTGAGAAATCACCCCCCTGCAAAGAGGATGGCCACGCCGCAATCCCTTCTCCTCCACTGTCCTCGAAATTTTGGGCATACATGCATACACACCTGGCATGAGTTTAAGCCGCCAGGTTCAGTACTCAAACTGCTGTCAACTATGTGGGAGTGCAGTAATGTAACCATTATGTCATCTGCTGGTCCCCCTCCATCTCAAATTCTTAACTCTCAAAGGGAGAGATGGTATGGATATTATTTTCTAGAACTATACCAAGTAAAATATGTGAGCATAATACAATTCGATTATGTCAGGAGTATTCAAGTTCATATCATAATTTCTATCTCTCTGTCTCTCCAATAAGTGCATGAACTCCATAGCAAAAATCTCTCTTAAGAAAAAAAAAGCAGATCAATTTATTTTGTGTGATTCTTTCCTATTACTTTGCATGAGGTAATTATATAAACATATTATTGTCAATAGCATAATCAATATGGTTTCCAATAATTGAGCTCTTACACTGTATTTGACACCATGCTGGACACGTGATGTGCATTATTGCATTTGATTGTTACCACAAATGTATGAGGGCAAGCAAGTATTATTATCCCCATTTTGGTTATCATAAGAACTAATGTTTAATCCTCAAAAAATATTAACAAATAAAATATAAAAATAGATTATATACCAAGACCAAGGGAGATTAACACTAGAAAATTATAGATTGTAAATCTTTTTAACAGAATACAGGACAACACATCTGACATGATTATCTCCAAAGACATGGGAAAAACATTTGACAAAATTCAACACTCATTGGGAACCAGCAGTTGGTGTAATGGCTATGTTGCTGGACTCCCACATAGTCGACCGTGGTTCGCATCCCGGACCCGGTGGCTTAAAACTCACGCTGGGCGCGTGTGCATGTGTGCCCAAGATCCCGAGAGGAGAATGGAGGAGAACAGATTGTGGCGTGACCATCCCCCCTGGGGGGTGATTTCTCGCTTTCTGTCTCTATGTCTCTCTCTGTCTGTCTGGCGAGCGCACACACCCTATAGCAAAAACCTCTCCAAAAAAAAAAAAAAATTCAACACTCATTTATGATAACAGCTCTTAACAAACTTGGAATAGAAGGGAAGAAACTTTCTTGACCTATAGAAGGTATGTATCTTCAATAAATTCTTCAAGAAATACCATACTTAACAGGAATAGACTAAATGCTTTTCCTCTAATTCTGGGAACAAGGCAAGAACATCTGTTCTCACTTCTATTCAATATTATTCTAGATAGTTTTAGTCAGTGCAATTAGCAAAATAAATAAATAAAAGACATTCATATTGAAAAGGAGGAAGCAAAGCTGCCTTCAATTACAGACTATATAATTTTGCATATAGAAAATCATAAGAAAACCACTAAAAAACACTTAGAACTAATAAGCAGGTAGTCTAATAAAGTTTCAAAATATAAGCTCAATTTATAAAAATCAGTTACTTT